GGGGGGGGGGATGTAAATTGCTGCGAATAGTTTTACCGCGCTGAAAGTTCACTAATCTGCTTGAACTGCTTTAATTACGGTCCATTACTCAGTATGCATTAAGGTTCGACTATTACGTTCGGCATTTAGAGCAACTGTAGTGCCATAGACAGCTATTGCTGCACTTATTTCATTTAAGTTAGGCGCGGAAGTTGCACGGCGTCAAACCCAAACGGGATCGGACAATATCAAAAGAGGGCGCTCTCACTGCGTTATGCATATTGATGATTTCCAGGGCTTTTGAGAACAAGTTATATAACAAGGGATAATGCTGTTCAACCACTGATTCGTGGACTGGTTCAGTAGTCCTGACTTGTAATCAGGTGATCGAGTTCAAATCTCAGTGAGCGTTTTTTTTCTTCACTTTTTCACAAGACGTAAAGCCTATCTTTGGTTTATGTTATGGAAAACAAAAGGCATTAGACATGCATGTAAATGGACCGATACGAAATGGGAAAATAATGCCGTTTCTAATAAGTTGTATAAGGGTACAGATAACATTCACCTGTAATGCTTTAAGCCTATAGAGATGTTCATTGCTTTGACGTGAACCCTCTAATGGTTGAGTGAACATATCAAAACGGCATTGTAAACATTTTGAGACTTTTCTAGAGACTTTTCTCTGTAAAGCAAAGGTAAAGCAAAGGTAAAGCATTTAACGTAGGTCGCCAAAGTTCACCAAGACCAACAAACCTCTTTAAAAAAAAAAGAGTTACCCCTCAGGTGTTGTGTAAGAACTAGGACTTGTTTTATTCTTAGAATCAAAACGTAAACTACTAAAGGAATGTCTCAGAAACATTTTGAAGGTGGCAAAGTGTAATTGAAGACTAATTAACGACTTGCGTGATTTCATCAATATTACGTCACAACTATGTGTAAATTAGAACTACGCTGATTCTTTTCCAGTCAAATGGACACGTCAAGGGATACCGCCAAGAGAACGTCGGTAGAAGCTAGTACACAGGTCGGAGATGACGAGGAAATTACGACTGGTGTGAAGAGGCTGCGTAAGACCTGTGTTACAGGTAAAAATCCGACGGGATAGCCTTTTTTTTTTTAACTCTGATTTACATCAGGGGATCAGACGTATACTCTGATGGTCCGATGTAAATCCGTCCTAGTTGATAATCTAGTTATTGTTTTGACTTATTTCTTTTGAGAAATTTCATTCCTATAAAAACAAAAAAAATATTGCAAAGTGTTATGTTTCATGATTCTTGCTAGACCCTATTGACCGATCAAAGCACGCTTTAAATGTACACTGGAGACCCTTTTCAATGGCGAAAGCAATATTTTATCTATCACGTTTTGGTTCCTGTATTTAATTATGAGTATTCATCCTTTTAGTTGACATAGACGTGCCATAAAGTCTCAGCCTTTCGGAATGGTGTTCTTTCTTCTTCTTGTTTTGATCACGTCACCCTGGTAGTTCATAAATACCCGCCAAAGAGGCGCAATTCCTATAATTTGTTTTCTTATGGATGTGTATGGTTACATAAGGTGGGGTAAAACCGAGAAAATCGGCCTCACAACTGGGGAGTCCATTCGCATGTGATTTCACACTTTTTTCTACTTGCAGGACTTGTGTCCTGTGCAGGTTCCATTTTAGAAGGGGGACGTGAAAAAGGGGAGAAGCCCATCCGTACGGTGGCCCTGGAACGACATTTTAATATTGAACTTCTTAATATTAACCTTGTAACTCCTTAATGTTTACGTTGTACGTTCGCAATATGCACGTTGCACGTACTTAATATCGCATTGTGGAAGTAGTTTCTGCTTAATGTGAATGTGCCATCTTGTTAATGTTCACGTTCGATCTTCTTAATATACACCATTGATCATGCTTGATGTCATCGTTGCACCTTCCTTTTTCGCAATATGAACCATGTACCTTCGCATTGTGAACGTTTGACCTTGCATCTTCTTAATATCATTGTTTAATCGTCCTCCTTCGCAAAGTGAATCATGCATCTTGAAAAGTACAAAGTCCTTGCCAAGCCTACACTTAAACAACCAGTTATGAGGGAGTTTCAATCTGACGGCTGTTTAATGTCACTTAACCTGTTTCTACCTTGTAGTGAGCATTGATTATGAATCAATGCTTTCTGTTTCAATGTACTCATCTTGTACAATTCATGTTCATGATATTGAGCGCTGTTTCACTAGAAAAAAAGTCTGTTTAATTAATTAGACTAATTAATTTCTTGACGGTATACTCTCCGTCAATTACAAAAATGCAAAACAGTGTTCTGTGATCACGTTGAGAAGGCTTTTATCATAATACTTTACATCCTTCAATCCCTATCCCTACGGATTTGTCAATAGTATGAGAATCCCCGCTGTTTTGACTAGCATTTTGGTTTTCGGTCTACTGCTCAGTAAAACCACCCCCCCCCCCCCCATGAAGAATATGTGCAATTGGCTGACTCCAAGCAAACAACTTCGTATAGGGTGCCCCGGCAACACGTTTTTTCGCGCTCAACGCAACGGTGTGGTCGTGATAACGCTCTCTCGCGGTGGCGGGTTATCGCAGAGGCGGGTAATCGCGCATTAAACCATGAAAACATCCATCCCCTAGACAAACTCGAGTAAAATGTTGCGGGGGAATGCACTGAATAAACAATAAAATAATTGACGGAAGCCACCTGTGCCCCGCGCGCTATCGCTTTTGCAATGATTGACGGGAATGGGACCGTTGGTGAAATCCCCGATATTTCCCATAAGTAATAAATATCAAAGTATGTCCTTACTATTGTTGTTATTGATTTAAAAGACGTGGACATTATTTCGTAACGGTACCACCGCAAATAAATGATGGTCCTTTCAATTGCTTCTTTAGATCATACTCTTATACTAATTAAATACGCGGATATCAAGACGAATCCATAGGGAAAGGGATAGAAGGATGTAAAGTATTACGATAAAAGCCTTCTCAACGTGATCACAGAACACTGTTTTGCATTTTTGTAATTGACGGAGAGTATACCGTCAAGAAATTAATTAGTCTAATTAATTAAACAGACTTCTTTTCTAGTGAAACAGCGCACAATATCATGAACATGAATTGTAAAAGATGAGTGAATTAAAACAGAGAGCTTTGATTCATGATAAAACTCACTACAATGTAGAAACAGGTTAAGTGACATTAAACAGCCGTCAGATTGAAACTCCCTCATAACTGGTTGTTTAAGTGTAGGGCTTGGCAAGGACTTTGTACTTTTCAAGATGCATGATTCACTTTGCGAAGGAGGACGATTAAACAATGATATTAAGAAGATGCAAGGTCAAACGTTCACAATACGAAGGTACATGGTTCATATTGCGAAAAAGGAAGGTGCAACGATGACATCAAGCATGATCAATGGTGTATATTAAGAAGATCAAACGTGAACATTAACAAGATGGCACATTCACATTAAGCAGAAACTACTTCCACAATACGATATTAAGTACGTGCAACGTGCATATTGCGAACGTACAACGTAAACATTTAGGAGTTACAAGGTTCGTATTAAGAAGGTCAATATTAAAATGTCGTACCAGGGCCACCGTACATCCGTGCTGAAACATATCGTTTTTTTTCCTCTCATTTATCACTGGGCCGCCGTAAAAAAATGTAAGTGTAGGGGTGCTACAATAATTCCCATGTTAGCGCTGTTCAAACAGGAAGGTCATGGGCACTATCGGACAAAATGTGGCGCTTTTTCGGGCAGCACAATTGCCGACATTTGCGCGAAATTCCAAAAAGGGCACTCGAAAAATACACTTGTGTTTAAAAAAAAAAGCAATTTGTATAAAATATTACGGGGGGGGGGGTCACTGCTGCTGAAATAAGGGCACCTGGGTAGTAATTATTTACGGCGGGGGGGGGGGGGGGGTTAAAATACCCAATACACCCTCTTCCCGCCGCTGGATACGCCACTGTGCCTGTGGGCTGGTGCCTCGTACATACATGATTTTACCAGCTAGTTATCGGGCTAAATCCGGTCCATTATCAACACAAGAAGCTTTAAAATACTGTCAGTGACTGGCCAATGTTTATTGTTGAGACTTTTGCGCGCTCTGTCATTTGATTACTTTTACCTTGTCGTTTCATTTAGAGCTGACTGATGTACTCTTGCGGAAGCTGGCTAGTGAACTTGGTCAGGCATGGAAAAACTTAGCTACACGCCTCGGTTTCAGCAATGCGCAAATCTACAGATTAGAGAGTGACAATCCACAACAAACAGAAGAGCAAATGTTCAGCATGCTGGTCGAGTGGAGACAACAAAGTCCTTTAACCCCTGACGCTCAGGTTAAAACACTGTCAAGCCACTTGCGTAAAGTTGGCAGAGAGCATCTAGCTGATGATTTGTTAGGTACTTCCATCTTATCTCCAAGAAGCATTGCCAGTAGCCGGATCATTTTTCTTTTACAAATGTACTCGAAAACCATTTACATTGAAAATTGTCGGTTTTAATTGCGCATTTTTATTTCAAAAGAAAACTCTATTTTGTTCCCTCTAAAAAAAACACACACCTTTGTTTCGGATTGCCTTAGCACCCTTAATGCAAACAATCGTTACTCCTGAATTGTTGTTGGGATGCATAATAGTTCCCCTGTTTGTAAAATAAATAGTCCATACCTAACGTGGGCAAAATATTGTTTTGTTTATCTCCTTCAAAAGTTAACTATGTTTGCATTAAAATCAAAATATGGTATTAAAGCGAATGTACATCATTGGCTTTTGCTTTAATTTTCAGAAATGAACTATTTAAGGAGTTCAGTATAATAGATCAAATTATTGTTACACTTACATTTTGACGTTTTGTGTTTGAAAATGCTGGGAAACCAAGAAAAACCCATATGTTTAAGTAGTCTGGTTCCCTGACTCCACTGAAGATGAAATTGATCAATTTTAAGATGCCGGAAAATTGTACGTTAAGGGAACCGGTCTAGCTGGCCTGCATTCATTCGTAAACATGCAACGAAAACTAACCAAAAGTTGGACTGAAACAAGGGTAAATTTGGAGCAGTGGTTGAAAGATAGTTAGGATTTTCCAAAGGTGGTCGGCTAACCATCGTTGGAAATGTATACAAAAAATACCATTTTCTTGAAAACAACTTCACATCAGGTGCCATTATTTTACAGGGTGCTTTAGACTGTCATTTACCATTATCCTGTAAGGTATTTCGTAAAACTTTGACGTTTTTTTTTTTGGTATTTGCAAATGTCGTTTCCCTTTCAACTTGAAAATGGGCCGTTAAATCACCTTTCAATGAAACTCGGCGAGCATGACACTGTGAGCAAAAGGTACAGCTCTTGTGACACTTATTGCAATAGAGGTGAACAACTGCTTTCTGTTAGGATTATTGTTTTTATGGGAAACTTTATAAGGTGAATTCTAATATTATTGTACTTCACAGGAATTCACCAGGGCGACGGTGCAAAAAAACTACAAGGATTTGCTGAGACCACGTCGTGTGATGAGCATCAGTACAAGAAAGAGTTTTACTGTGAAACATGTCAAGAACTGATTTGCAGGTTCTGCTCGTTACGTGACGATCATGAATCTCATCATTACGTTACTGTTGAAGAAGCTTCGGCAAAATTTAAACATGACTTGAACGATAAGTTGCAGTTACTCAACACAGACTTGGTCAAAATAGACCAAAATTTGATGTCCATATCTCAAGCCGAACAGACATTCAGCTCCCGAGTTACTCAGGCATTAGGCGTCGTGCAAGACAGAGCTGCTCGGGCAATGAAAGAAGTCGAAGCAGAAGAGAAACGAGTTTTGGATGAACTGAAACAACGAGAAAAGGATAACGGACAAACATTGGAAGAGAAAAGGAAAATACTGCTTGAACTGCAGAAACAGAAACTGCATACGTTGGCTGTAGCCGAGGCTGCCAATCAGGAAGACTTTAGCAGCATTTTTTTGGTCCGCTACACTGACATACGCATGCAGTTGCAAAAGCGTGGTTGCGAACGTCCTCCCAAAAGCGACGTCAAACTTGTATACCCAACGTTTCAACGGAGTCAAAACATTGGTGCCGTCGATCTTGGTAAGGTGGTGATGGAGGACACGTGGGAGCTGTGTCATGAATTTGGGAAACAAGGACAAGGTGTAGGGGAGTTTGAAACAGCCAGAGGAGTTGCTGCTGCTGCTGAACCTGACGAGATTGCTGTGACGGACTGGAAAAACAGGCGCTTCGTCATCTGTAACAATCAGGGGGGAATTAAATAACTACATTCCGGAGATTCAGGTAAGTTATCTGACTTGAACGCATTTCATTTAGACTCAAAGCCTGGTCTTACATATACAATTATGAATATTCCTTAAAAATTGAAAAATAATTAGTGGAGAAAGCTAAAATAGGGAACTCTTCGAACTCTTCCAATCAAACAAAAACACAGTCTCAAATGTCAAATTAAAGAGAACTACAAAAGCTTTTATTCGAGTGATGAAGTAATTGCACAATTGTTCTAAACAAAACATACATTTGCCCAAAAAAATCGTTTCCGTTTGGAAAATTTAGAATTATTACCGTGTGAGAAACAACGAAGAGGGAGTAATGCAAGTGATGTAATATGAGTGACGGTACCTCCCTTGCATCCATTATACATACTGACACTGACATGATTCTCAATGGGATTTGGCACTAACTATCAGTTGTATAAAAGGTATACGTTACTTCAGTGTTTCAGACTACAGTTTTAAGTGACTTTACCAACAAAATTGCAGGAAAGTGTTCCATGTTTGTTTTTAGGTATCATGAGTTAAGACGAAAAAAACCCACATTTTTTAAAGCGAATCAATGAATTAGATAATTTCTTTCTTTCTTTTTATCCAAGGTTTTGATATGGCTGGTTCAATCTGTGTAGATTCTATGCTGGCTATCGTCGAGATTCGTTTTATAGTAATAAAACCTGAGATGTCTTTTTTGAATCCTGTATTTTTTTTTACCCATTCAGGTAGAACTCCATTTCAGTTTCTCAATTTTATTTTCAGATGACGTAACGATTATGCCGGATGGATGGGTGGTTGCTAGCCAACGAGACGTCAAGGTGTACACAAGATACATGACGCTAGCATATGAGTTCAAGACAGTAGCTGAGAGTGAGGTTGGCAAGACAGAGGTACGCCTCGTGAGTGTAACAGTCATGCAGAATGGAGACATCATAGCCGGCGATATCAAACGGAAGGTGTTGACGCAACATCAGTCGGGAAAAAGGGGCAAACTCATACGCACCATACCGGTTTCGATACGACCTGACTTCTTGTCTGTACTGAGCAATGGTTGGATTGTGATCAGTGACTATGAAGAGGGACTAGCGGGCATAGTGGATGTGTCTGATGGCAAAGCTGCTGAAGTCGCCACCGTCCGACCAACCATCGACGGCGATCCAGTGAATCACTGCGCGGGTGTTTGCAGCAACAGCTCGGGTATCTACCTTGTGGTGAGCACAGGCTTCGTCAACAGCGGTCACGTTCACCACTATGATGATTTAGGTCAGTTTGTCAGCTGTGTGGCCCAGGGACTATACAATCCCACAGGAATCGCATTCACAGCCGATGGGCAGCAGCTGGCAGTGGCTGACCTCCATTCAGTTAAGATATATCACAAGGTGTAATTCAGCATGACGCGACTGGCATGTCACTCCCTAGCTCCGAACAAACGGTTGAAAACGGTCTATAACATTGTTCTATAAGATATCCCCATCTTTCCATAATTTCTTGGAAGTATTTTCTTTAGTTTACGGAAGTGAGCAAGCAATAGTAGCTCGAATGCTTGACGAAAATGACAACGTGAATACAATGAAGAAATATTCGGACAATGAGGTGGTAAGAAACCCAGAATAAAGCTCCACGCAAACCCCATAGAGTGAGACAATAAACCCTATCCACATGTCAACACTAGGCATAATTTGAATCTGTGTCGCATATGTGCAAGGTGAGAAAGAACCACTGCACGAAGTTGACTCCCATTCGCCGGTATGTGTATCGACTTTGACTCTTTAAAATTACATTTTTATAGGTAATATTGATACACAGCCATATTTTTCAGAAATCTTGATGGGTGACTCTAAGCGATAATTGCATGTCTTGTCAACCTTACATAGAGATACAATCTTGGTTTTGAAACGCATCCACACTTAAAACATGTATGTTAGTTTTTACCCCTCAGCCGAGAGGCTCAAGGGGTACTGTCAACGCGTACGCCTACGGCGTCTGTCCGTCCGTCCACCGAGAAACCCTTACCATGGACCACTTGTGGGGTACCTGTTCGAGGTACCCCGCAAATGAAATATTTAGCTGTCCGTCTGTCCGTCCGTTAGGCCAGAGTGTCCAGGCAGCTTAGTTTCCGGATGATAACTTGAGTTAGAAATGATTATTGGGATTGTAACTTCGGTAGCGGGTTGCCCTCATAAGTACGCAAGTTGGGATTGGTTTTCAGGTCAAAAGGTCAAAGGTCAAGGTCACTGTGGGGGAGTTAAAGTTAAATGGTTTGTGGATGATGACTTATGTTGGAAATGAGATTTTGGTGTCTAACTTCGGTAGGTTGCCCATTGGTACAGGCATGTTGGGATTGGTTCTGGGGTCAAAGTTCAACGGTCAAGGTCACGGATGATTACTTGACTCTGGCTGAGGGGTTTCAACAGCAAGTTCAGCAACGCTATAATTTCTGTATATACTGTCTGAAGAAAACGCAAATGTCGTACCAGCTTCCGATGACAACAGTGGAATCTTTACATTGCTTTTCCGGTTAATCGATCTAATATGGACCCGTTGCATTACTTCCATGTTGGAGGTACAGTGCTTTATTCTACAAGGAACATGGTAAACACCTTTTATGAATTTATTACACCTTTTATGAATTCATTTTTATTGAATTAGATTAGAAAAATTCGACTCCGATTTTTGTGTATACAAATGGTTTGCATATAGATTACAGTGTGTAAACGTTGTACAATTGCATGTACACAACATTCATTGGTATTGCATATTTTCGTTGTTGTTTTTGTGTGTTGTGGGACCTGTTTTGGTTGCATGTGAACTGTTGTGTTTTAAATGATCTTATAGCATTTTTTTCATTGGATGTTCCGGTATTCGTGTGGACAGGTTCTTATAATAAATACAAGTTTTGTTTTTCCCAAGACTAATATTTGATTATCCGAAAGAAAACTGTTTAGTTTGAATAGTAATCGGTAAATCACAGTTTATGATCAACGAAGTAAACTAAAGCAGTACATAACGTTTCCATTGGTAATTTGCGATTAAACGTTACGAATGGTATTTTGCGTTCCCCTTTGATTACCGAAAAGTAACCTCGTAAATTGCAGAGCCCTTTTTTACCTTTGTTTGATCGTTTGTTGCTTTCATTTTTCCGCATAACTTTCAGATTTTACTTCTGAAAAGTATGTTCAGGTTGAAAACTGAATTAATTTGGTGGATATATTTGATAAAACACTTTTCATGTTAAATTTGTACTTGAACACCATAATACTTTTATTCGTCCTAACACACGCAATAGCCGCCATAACCTGAAGACTAAAACATGTCGTAAACACATTATCCAAATGGCGTAGTTCCGTTGTTTGGTGTATAAATAATGGTATCAATTAAATTGTTGCTGTATCTAGCCAGCACTAATGCAGAGATTTGACGACAATGATTCAACAATTCACTCGTTTTAACGTTTGACTTGACTTGTCATGGTAACAAACTTTCGTTGTAAACAACTGCAGTTGACATGGAATTGTAATACAAAAAGTGCGGTAATCTGGCAGTTAACTTGGATTTTAGAACAATGACGGTTGCTATTACTTTTGTTCATAGCATAACAATATAAGAGATTAAAAGAAATGAACCATAATTGTATAATGTTTGGCTTGGGCGTGTGTCAATTGTTTTGCTTATGGTCGTAATGTTATAAAGTGATATGT